TAGCTACTCGGGAGGCAGAGATCAGGAGGGTTGCAGTTTGAAGCCAGCCCTGGTTTTGGAAGACCCTATCTTGAAAAAATCCATTACAAAAAAGGCTGGTGGAGAGGCACAAGTGTAGAGTGCCTGCCTAGAAAGTGGGAAGGCCAGAGTTCAAACTCCAGTACCACAAAAAAAAAGGCCGGTCAGGGATTGTAAAAAAATAACTCAGGGCTATTTAGATAGGGATGGGGGACTGGTCTGAAAACAGTGGAAAATAACTAACTAAATACTAATAGCACTATTTATTTGTTGATCATTTACTATGTGCTGGGTACTGTTGAAAGTGATTTACAGACACTAATATGTCACCCTTACAGAGTATGCATTATTATTTTTACAGATGAGTCAATGGTTGAAATATTTTAACTTGCCCAAGTCAGATATCTAGTAAGTACCTTCAAACAGAATGAAACCTGGGACTACAAAATCTATGCTTTGTATACAAACTGCCTTCTCATGTGAAAGCGGGATTGGGTGTCCAACCCTACTCTTGAGAATGATGAATCTGTTAACACCAAGTACTGTTTTTTACCTCTTTGGAATTTTTTTAATTGAGAAGAATATAAATAGCAAAATTTGGAAAAAAAATTCCTATGGAAGAGCTATTTTTAGTTCAGCATGCTATTTTCATGTATATTATTTTTGTGTAGCTGGAAAATATGAAAGCATGCGTAATTTTTGTTTACTCTTTTCTTCATATTAGCAAGAATATTTTCCAGACTTCCTGTAAAAGTCTTATGTTAGAATAACAATATAATAAACTGTTCTTTGGAATTGGCCATTTAGGTGTTTGCAGTCTTCTGTTCCTTTTTTGAGGTGATTACTGGGGTTTGATCTCAGGGCCGCAAACTTTCTAGGTAGGTGCTTTACCACTTGAGTCATCCTGCCAACATCAGTCTTTTGTTTTTACATAGTATACTGTAATCAAGAAATAAGCAGTGATGCACAATTTTCCCTATTCTAAGATAAATTCCTAGAAGGAGAGGTACACATTTTTGTTTTAAATGTAATACCTCCTTTAATGCTTTCCTAAAGCATTGGTTGCCCTGTGTTTCCTTAAAATGTTTTATTAGTATACTCAACCATGAAAAGGGAATTAGATTTATTCCACCAAAAAAAATTGTCATGCTAATTTTCTGTTAAACAGAAACATCTGCCCCACCCCCCCCCTTTTTTTTTTTTTCTATACTGGGGCTTGAACTTAGGGCCTACACCTTGAGCCACTTCACTTGCCCATTTTTGTGGAGGGTTTTTTTGAGGTAGGGTCTCGAGAACTGTTTGCCTGGGTTGGCTTTGAACCGTGATCCTCCTGATCTCTGCCTCTTGAGTAGCTTGGATTACAGTTGTGAGCCACCAGTACCCAGCTATTATGCCTTTTTGTTTAGTTCTTAATGTCTTGTGTGTGTGTGTGAATTCAAATGCTTGCTTTATAGTAGCTAAAAAGGTACCTTCCCTCATTTAGTCACTGTCATCAATTTTTGTTTTAGTTATATTTTTGTGATTTCCTGTATAGTTTTGTAAGTTAAGAAGTTGTATCTTTATACTTCTAATTTTATAGTTTCTACATTAGGAGGTTTTTTTTTTTTTTTGTGGTACTGGAGTCTGGACTCAGGGCCTCGTACTTGCTAGGCAGGAGCTCAACACTTGATCTGTGCCCCTAGCCTATTAATTATTTTATAGTTTCATGAAATGCTCAAGTATTAGGAAGAAGTTTCATGGTATAGTTGACTGGTTGTTGATTTCATTTTGTTTACTCTGCCATCTTTTTTTGAGGGGAGGGGACTTTTATTATTTACATGTAGAGTACTATTCTCATTACTCAAGAAATGAATTACATACTTGATTCCCTATCCTTGATTATCCTTTCCCTCTTCCCTCTTATTCTTGCTAATTTCTTCCTCAGTTTTGGTATCTATTCCATAACATTTTGTCACATTGTTGTTGCATCTTACTGCTCTCTAAATGATGTTAATTGTTCTGTAAAATTCTTGTTTTGTTCACTTTTTTTTTTTTTCCTTCTTCAGTACTGAGTATTGAACTTGGGGCCCCCTGCTTGGTAGGGAAGCACTCTGCCACTCCATCCACATCCCCAGTCCTTTTACTTTTTTTTTTTTTTTTTAAATTGCGGTACTAGGGTTTGAACTCAGGACTTCATATTTAGCTAGGTGGGCACTCTACTGTGTGAGCCACTCCGCCTTGTTGGGTATTTTTGAGATAAGGTCTCACAAGGTATTTGCCCAGGCTGGCTTCAAACCACGAGCCTCCTGATCTCTGTGGCTAACATTACAGGTGTGAGTCACCAGCACATTTTGCTTTTAATTTGCTTTTCACCTACGGATCCCCTAACTTTGCTTGACCTGGCCCCAAATCGTGATCCACCTGTCTCTGCCTTCTGAGTAACTAGGCATATAGGCATCTGCCACCATTCCTGGCATAAGACTCTTGCTGTGCTTTTCAGTATCCTGTATTCCTTTAATATTTTTTCCTAAAACATTCATGCATTTTTAGGTGCGTTTAATGTCTTATTCATTTATATTCTACCTTTTTTTTTTTTTAATTTGGTTGTACTGGGGTTTGAACTTAGGGCCACATGCTTGCTAGGCAGGTGCTCTACCACTTCAGCCACTTATTAGTCCTATTTTTGTGTTGGGCATTTTCGAGATAGGGTCTCACAAACTGTTTTCTTGGATGGCTTCAAACCGCAATTCTCCTGATCTCTGCTTCCTTCATAGCTAAGATTACAAGCATGAGCTTGGTTTTTTTTCTTTTTTTTTAAACTTTGGATTATCTGCAGAGACCAGCGACCAAGTTATTTTGTTTTGTCTTCTTTGAGACAGTGTCTCTGTATACAGCCCAGGCTGACCTCGAACTTGTGATACTCCATTTTAGCCTGCCTAGCACATGCACCACACTTCTTGCACATAGTGCAAACGTCCCAGGTTGCTTTTGATTGTATTGTTTTTCCTATAACTGGAATATAGGAGAAGCTTAGTACGTAATCATGAGTGAATTTCAAAGAATGTTTTGAATCTCCTATCCTATTTTCTTATTTAATGCAGAGGATATGCCTGCAGTGGTTTCTTAAGGTTAATTGGGGTTGATATTTAGTTGAACAGAGTTAGTAGGAGAACGATTTGTGACAAATTAAGAGTTTAAGCCCAAATGGATTCTGTTTTAGTATTCTTTCCAGGTCTGAGTCTGCTAGTAGTATTCAGTTTTGTTCTGTTTTAGTTGTGTAGCTAATGGGAAAAGATTCCTACTAAGCCAGAGCTTGAAAATCTTGAGGTTACTTGGGACAGATGAGATTAGTATCTGCCTTAGGTGTCATAAACTAGTTCTCAGAAAGAATACTTCCCAAATCAGGATAGAACACAGTGTTCTGTACTCAGTCACATCTAATTGGTCTTCTAATTTCTTACTAGAAATTAGAATATGCTTGATTTCTACACTTCATTTCAGCTGTGGTTATTGATTTTTCTTCCTTTCTTCCGTATACCTTTTTCTTTACACTTCCAGCTGCTCTCAAGATTTCCAAGCTCTGGCTTGCTAATGTATGTAAAGTCCTTATTCTGTACTTTTATACTTCTGACTGTGTAAAAACCATTTGCTAAGCCTATATTATTTGCTAAGCAAACAGACTATGATTTGTTTCTTATAGAACTTTAAATTTTTTTCTAGGCTTAATAAATGAGTTACCTCATTTTTTTCCCATTTTCTTTGACCCTAAGGCTACATTTCCCACATCTTCTAGCACCTTTTAAAAATCTCAGTACCACATTCCATAAGATATTTGATGCAACTTGCCAGCCTCTGCCAGATAACTCTGTTGGATCCTCTGTTTCTTTCCTATTTAGACTTGTTGCCTTCTAGACCTTCAACACATCATTTACCTGTAACTTAATCATCATTTTGGGGATTCTCTTAAATTTCCTCCCATATTGGATCCCTTCTTAACAAGATTCCATGTCATCTTTTTTTGATTCCCTTCCTAATTTTTATGGACTGCATATTCCCCAAAAGATTCTTGAGAAAGGGCACACAAAGGTTAAATTTTTAGAGACTTTCCCTCAATGATAATATCTAAATTTTACTGTCACCATGGATCATCTGGATGAGCATAGCATTGGAAATTGAAAGATAAAATTGCTTTTTTATTGTTGTTTTTGGTAGGACTGGGGTTTGAACTCAGGGCTTCATGCTTACAAAGCAGGTGCTCTACTACTTGAGGCACACCTCTAGTCCATTTTGCTCTGGTTATTTTAGAAATGGGGTCTCATGAACTATTTGCTCAGGCTGGCCTCAAATGTCAATCCTCCTGATCTCAGTTTTCCAAGTAGCTGGGATTATAGATGTAAGCTACCGGCACCCAGCTCTCACTTTTTTTTTTTAAACTTAATATTTGAAAACAGTGACCACATGCCCATGAACCAAAATTGAAAAGGCACAGGGGCTTAGCTATGATAGGGAGAATTTGTCTACAGAATGAGGGGGATGATGGGACCTTTTTTTTGCGGTACTGGGGTTTGAACTCAGGGCTTCATGCTTCTAGGCAGGTGTTCTACCACTTGAGCCACTTCTCCAGTCAATAGAACTGTTCTTTATCATATAATGAGAATGGTATTTACACCAATTTTTACATATGTTGAAATCTATAAAAGTATATACCAAAGATAATGTTTAATTTATATGCATGATAGTTTAAAAACTGAAAATCAAAAGAATAAAAGTATATAAAGGTATACAGCAAAAAGGAAATTTCTTTTCCTTCTCTCTCCCAAATCCTTTCATCTTTCCTTTCTTGAAGAAACCACAGTTCCTCACGTATTCCCCTAACCAGCCACTCTTAAGCATCTAAACCTGTAGGGGTATAATTGGATAAAAGAGAAAAAAAGCCATAAATCTGCTAAAGTATTTTCTGAGGATGCTACTGTACTGATTTATTAAAATTGTTTTTCTTATAGTTGGCAAACATGAATTGACTGGGCATAAAGTTGCCGTGAAGATTCTCAATCGGCAGAAGATTCGAAGCCTTGATGTGGTAGGAAAAATCCGCAGAGAAATTCAGAACCTCAAGCTTTTCAGGCATCCTCATATAATTAAACTGTAAGTTCATTTATATTAATAATGGTCTGGTCATCTTTTTATCCATTGTCTTAACTGACTTAATTTGACAAGTGAGAAAGAGGACTGACGTTTTTCCTGTTTCCTGAGGGTTTTGAAAAGCTGTTTCCTGTTCATGTATTTATCTAACCCCATTCATTGTCAGTTATGCCTGTCTTCATGTTTTAACCTTGTGCATATTACTGTTGTTTTTCTCATTTGTTCCTGTTTTCTGGACAGGTGTCCTTTTGATAGATAATGTTCAGGGCTGTGTGCTGTAGAACCCACAAGTGATTTGCTAGTAAAAATTCTCCTGGTATGCATGAGTCCCTGGCATCCATCCCCAGTGCTGGAGAAGAAGAAGAAAAAAAGGCAAAACATTCTCCACTTCCAAATTTTCACATGTTGTTAACTAGCCTCACTAGAGACAATACAATAGAATGGGTTTTCTTCCCCCCATACTGTTTATGTCTGATCTACAAATAACAAAATTTCAGATACTTAACATTTTAAAAGGCAGTAATCTTACTCATGTTTACTGTTTATGCCAGTTGCAGGTTGTACACTTATTTATTACTCAGCTCTTAACTTTATATGTAGGCTATACTTTAAAGCTGCTTAGACTTTTCTGTTGAACTGGCTGACTCAAAATTTGTTTCAGCCTCACATCTTTTCTAAGTGATTTTAAATACCATCCATATGCAGATGACTCTTAAATAGACATTTCTTGCTTTGAAACCTTTTCTCTGAACTCATCTCTTATGCCTACTGCCTTACTTTATATTTCCATGTGGAGGTCCTTGAGTCATTTCAAGCTGTACCTGGTCAAATCTCATCTTCTCTTTGTTACCCTCTCAAACCCGCTCTTCCCCCAGTTTTCACCATTGCACTTAATAGCCAGCTACCCTTAGGAGCCATCCTTCTCTGTTTCTTTCACTTCCTACCATCCCCTGCATCTCTGCCTTCATACGTATCTCTGATTTGACTGCTTCTCAGTGCTTTAGCACCATCAGATTGGTCTGAGCCACCACCCCCATCCCTCTCACAAACCTCTGCATCAGTCTCTTGGTTTCTGCCTTTACCATCAGTCAGTTCTTCACACTGCTACCACTTACCTTTTAATATGCCAGATCACATAACTACTCTGCTAAAAACCTTTGGTAGCTTTTATCTTCATTTGAGTAAAAGTCAAAGCCTGTTCTTGGCTTGTAAAGTTCTGTGTTCTTTGGCCTCCAGTTACAGCTTTGACTGCACATCCCGTTTCTCTCCCAGCTTACTTTGCTTTTGCCTTACCATTCCTCATGCGAGCCATGAAGGCTTCTAGCTGGGTCCTTTGCACTTGCTGTTCTCTTGCCTGGTTCCCTTTCTTCCCAGATAGTGGCATATTTTGCTTTCTTCCTTCCTTCAGGTAATGCTCAAATGTTACTTTATTTTACTAGAGGTCTTCCTTGAATACTATGTAGAAGAGATTATTTCTCTTCATAGCATGTTCTACCACTTAAGACACTGCTTGCTTATTTAGTGTCTGTTTCTTGGCTCCAGGCACATAAACATCATGAAAATAGAAAATTTGTTTTGTTCCCTAGCACAGTACCTGGTATGTTATAGGTGCTTAGTAAATATTTATTGAATGAATGAATATACATGTTTTCATATTAGTAGATAATGTTTTCTCTCACCAGGTACCAGGTCATCAGTACACCATCTGATATTTTCATGGTGATGGAATATGTCTCAGGAGGAGAGCTATTTGATTATATCTGTAAAAATGGAAGGGTAAGCAGTTCTGATTTAATCCTGTACATATTTCTTTTTTCCCCTTATCCCTTATTAGCATCAAAATATCAGAAAGTAATTTTAAGAGGTCTACTAAATAACCAGTTGCCTTAGTCATGTGCTTTGTTTAGAAACATAGGCTAATTAGAGCTAGAGAAGACCTTAAAGATGATCTCTTTAGCTGACTTATACAAATGTGGATATTGAGCCTCACAGTTTATATAGTAGCTCAAGGTCACATGATATATTAATGACAGGATTGGATTGAGACCCCAGAACTCATAATCCTCAAATTTAAGCTTTTGAGGTATAAAATATTTTCTTATTGTTGTTGGTACTGGGGGCTGAACCAACTAGCTCTAGCACTTGAGCCACTCTGTCAGCCCTTTTCTGTGTTGGGTATTTTTGAGATATCGTCTCACAAACTGTTTGCCTGGGCTGGTTTCAAACCATGATCTCTGCCTCCTGAGTAGCTAGGATTACAAGCATGAGTCACTGACACGTGGCTACAAAGTATATTATTAAATATAGTATATTATATTTAAGGTTGAACTTGCTGGTCAATCCTAGCCACTTTTAAATTGCGTTCATTTTTTGGTTTCAGAAATCTGATTGATATACCTGGAGTAGTAAGAGCAGGCTCCATGAAGGAGATAGGAATTATACTTAAAAATTTAGAGCTGGAAGGAACTTTAGGAGACATTTTGAGCAGTACCTTAAGTTACAGTTAAAAAACTGAATGTGGCCCCTTGCCCATACTTGTTCTTATACCCAGGTTATCTGGTATATAAAAGCCCCTTTCTGAAAGATCTGTGTGTAGCACCAAAAAAATAATTTTTCACACTGTCAATCTAAAGTTATTTATATTACCCATTCTATATAGCATATCTGTTTACTTTAATCAAAGTCAAACTCATTAACCAAATTAATTTTAATTTTACTGTGTCTTAACGTGGTTCATTTCTATTTCAGATATTCCTCTTTTCACCTGGCCCTGTTCTCACCCCCTAAAAAAACCCCTCTGCCTTTCTTGGGTAAATAGGCACAAGTCGAACTAATACCATTTTCTTACCTTTTTCTTCATTTCTTGGTCATTTTGTTCTGCATTGTAGGAATTTCCTTAATTTCACCCTTTGAATATTAAAATCTGCTCCCATATATTTCAGAGGTCTTATTTTCTGAAATTTTCCTTTCTTTGAACAGTTTGTTTTGTTCCATAGATACGATAACCTAATTTGGTTGAGGATGACTTTTTTTTGTTTGTTTGTTTTTTGGTCCTTGTACTATTGCTATACCTTCTGTGCTTTCTGCTTACCTTTTTTTCTGTTCATTTTTTTTTTCTCTGTCTTTTGCGTGTGACTCTTTCTCAGATATCTGGTGATTCTTGGTTCTTGGTTGTGTACTTATATTTAAGAGTGAAGTGCTAAATGCCAAACTCGTATGGGTAGAGAAGTTATTGATTGGTGGGTCTTCCCATAGGTTGAATTGTTGGAGACCTGTCCATTTTGTTAGGGTATATTGCTTGTCAATATTAACAAGTAGTTTTTCTTGGATCTGATATTTGCTGTACAATAAACCATCCAGTTTTCTTGAAGGTAATAGTTTAGATGCTGGGGCAGCAAGACCTGGGTTGGGAAGATGGCTGCTAATCTCTCTGGTTAGTGTGTTGATTTTCACTTAACCCACATTTTCCTCACAGTGCCTCATTTCTGCCTTAGTGTCCTTGAGAACAGAGCAGGTTCTGTCTTAGTAGAATAAACTACAGATCTTATTCCCTAGTAGGAGTGAGTTAAAACGCTCCTTACTTCAACAACTTGTCCTATTTTCAGCCCACTCTTCACTTGTGCCTTCAGAAGTTCCCGAAGCTTCCAATTTCTAAGACGTTTTGGAGATCTGTGTGCAGATGAGTTTATTTGGTTTCCAGCCCCATAGGCTTAGGATTCACCTTTCTCTTGTTAAGTCTTTATCTGCTGTCCAGCATGATATTTTCTCTTGTTGACTCTTGCTTATCTCTTGATGTTTTTGTCTTTATATGCTTCTTTTATTGCTGATGTCATTTTAATAATATTGTAAGGAGTGGCGAAAGAATCAGCCTGTGATGTTTAACTGGAAATGTGCTTTGACTTTTCTAGTCTACTTTTATAGAGGTCTCCTTACATCTTTTGTATATATTTTTGTGGGTATAGTAGTTTTCATTTTTGTAGTCTACCTGTTTTACCTCTTATATTTCGTTTAATCAATTAAAATTTTTTTCATATTTTCAACAGTTATTCTTTTTTTCCCATAAACCTTCATTTGAAGAAATGAAGGTGTTACATTACTAAAATATTAGTACTTTGTTTTCTAGAGGAAGAGGGTATCTTATAGATTTCAGCAGTGGTTTTAATTTTGCTTTCTAAAGAAATTACTGTTTTGTCTTTTTTCTCATATTATCGATGCCATTTGTGGTGTGGAATTCTGGTTTTAGAATGCTAATTCCTGACCTGTTAGAGGGTAGCACATGAGAGTTCTTTGCCTAGAGGATTAATAGCTCATTTATTAAATATGACTTCTTAGAAGCAGGTGTGTGCTCCCCCATGTGGTTATCACTTGTTTGGAGAAAGCATCATAAATAAGAAAAAATGGAAAGAGAAGTTTTTAAAGAAGATTGTTGAAAAGGTAGTTGCAGTAAGCATACCAAATATGAATGCTTTTATATTTTATAAGATGAATTAAGTTTTTGGTTTGTTAAAATTAAAAAATATTTTATTTCAGAACATAATATGGTTGCTTGTAATTCATTAGCAGTGCTTAAATGTTAACTTCCTCATCGTGTAAAAGTATCCACCATCTCATCAGCGCTTTCTGTACTCTTACTCTGCCTGTGCTTTTCTTCTTTCCCTTTTTTTTTTAAATTATCATCATTTTGTTGTACTGAGGGCACATTGTGACAGTTACAAAAGTTATTACAATATATCATAGTTTTGAATTCACCTCCTCCATCATCTCCTTTATCGCCTCTCCCCCCATTCCTGGAATAGTTTCAGCAGTTGTCATTTTTCCATTTTCAGACATGAGTACACAATATTTCCACCACACTTACGCTCTGTTACCCTTTCCTTATATCCTTCCACCTCCCACTGGTACCAACCACCAGACAGGACCCGTTTTACTGTTTCATCTTTTGTCCTTTGTTTTTGAACAAAGACGTTTTTATTTGTTTAAGATACCTGTATAGGGAGTTTCACCAAGACATTTCCATGTATGTATGTATGTATGTATGTATGATAACCTGAATTGGTTCATGCCCTCCATTTTTCTCCTTTCTACCTTAGTCCCCTTTTTATGGTGACTTCAAAGCATTTAAAAATTCCGTATTAAGTATTGTATTCTTTTTTTATTCAAAGCACTATCTCCTTGATGTTATTTTTTTATTGCCTTGTTTTTGTCAACTAGATTAGAACCTTTTTTTTTTTTTTTGGCAGTACTGGGGTTTGAACTCAGGGCCTCATGCTTGGTAGGCAGGCAGTCTACCACTTTAGACACTCTTCTTCAGGGCCTTTGTTTTATTCATTTCTGTATCATGAATATTTACAGCTATATATAGCACAATAAATATTTGTTAAAGGAATGAAGGATTAAATATTTCTAATTTATAGGAGAAAACATGCCTAACTTTACGTAGAAATTGAAGCTAGTAGAAGTAGCTCATGAGCTAAAAAAGGCAAGCTGTTAAATGTAGTCCAGGTAAATGATAGGATTAGAAAGTGGGGTTGCTGTGTCAAGGTCTGAGATCTCTTAGAACCTGTTTTATGCTGTGTGTATCTCTTCCTTATTTCAAAAGTGTCTCACAAATGAGGTTCATCTGGAAGGTTTCATGCATTTTGACAGTTTATAGTTTGGAGGATTACAGGTAGGAGAATTTCTTGAAAGACACTCTTTTAAGATATTTTTCTACTTTTCTTAGTTGGATGAAAAAGAAAGTCGACGTCTGTTCCAGCAAATCCTTTCTGGAGTGGATTACTGTCACAGGCACATGGTGGTTCATAGGGATTTGAAGCCTGAAAATGTCCTGCTTGATGCACACATGAATGCAAAGATAGCTGATTTTGGTAAGGATATTTGTGTATTTTATAGTTTCATATGTCATTATGTTTAATGGCTGTAAGTAGCATTCTCCAGATAGCTTTTATGTAATAGACTATCTTATTAGTCAGTGAACATACAGAAGAAGGAAGAAAATCTAAGCTATTCTCTTTTCTTAGCCTTATGTTTTTGAAATTGAATTACATGCTGGGTATGGTGGCACATGCCTGTAATCCTCTCACTGGGGAAGCTGAGGCAAGGAGATGGAGGATAGCCTCGGCTGCATAGCAAGGCCTTGCTCAAAAGCACACAAAATTGAGTTTTTTATAGAAGATACATAATTCAAGTTTAGCAGCATTAGAAAGATCACTGAACAGAGCCACCTATTTCCAGTATATTCTTTTAGTCAATTATGGAGAAAAAAGAAAGTGAGTGGGATAGAATTATTTTTAAAAATGAAAGCCAAAAGGTAAACTACATGAAAAAAAATTTTTTTAAATTAACATTTTAAATAACAGAAAATCTAATTTCACACTATAAAAACTTAAACTGTATGTCATTATCCATGTTTTGAAACTGATGTTTAATGCTTATGAAAACTGAGGATACAGGGGTTTCATTAACACACAGCTTCTGATATATTTAAAATAAATAATAAATTATCCCCCCACCCCCCACAAAAAAAAAACCCCAGAAAATCTAATTTTAGCATTTTAAGAAATAATTTAGAGGCAGGTATGGTTGTGCTTGTCTGTAATTTCAGCACTGAGGAGGCTCAAGCAGGATGATTTTGAGTTCAAGCCCAGCTTGGGTTTGAATAATCCCTGTCTCAAAAAATGATATAGTGCATTTGATTCAAGTACATTATATGCATGATGTAAATATCACAATGAAATTACTTCATGCAATTAATTTTTGCTAATAAAAAATAAAAAACTAATTTATTGTTAAAAGTGAATTTTTTGTTCATAAATATTTCCTATATAAATTGCTCTTTATTGTCTATGAAAATTGACATTAGTAAACCTAAGAGAAAAATGAATGTCTGAAACTCTCTTCTTTTGGCTGGCTTTAATTTAAATCAAAGGAAATTGTATATTTTCCTCCTTTTTTTTAAATTTTGGTGGGACTGGGGTTTGAACTCAGGGCTTCTTACTTGCAAAGTAGTCTTTCTACTGCTTGAGCCATACCTCCAATCCATTTTGCTCTGGTTAGTTTGGAGATGGGGGTCTTGGCAAATTATTTGCTTGGGGTGGTCTCAAACTGAAATACACCTGATTTCAGCCTTCCAAATAGCTTGGATTACAGGCAAGAGCCACTAGTGCCTGGCCCAAAGGTTTATTTTTGGAGTAAAATTGTAAGAGAATTTTTAGATTCAAAATTTCTCTGTTTTTGTTTTTAAAGAATCAGAACAGGGTTAGTAGAAACTTTGAATTTCAATCCTATTCATGTTTCAGAGTATTTTCCCTATCAATTTCTGTATTAATAAAACTTAGCTATGCCAAGTTTATTCCAGTAAGCAAATTAATCAATAGCTCAGTGAACCAATAGTTGTTAAGCTTTAACCGCACTAACTTTAAATGTTGAAACAGATTATGTGTTTTAGGGCATAATGGCCAGATATATGGGAATAAAGACTATGATCTTGGTGATTCAAGAAACAAAATAAATGACAATTTACTACTTTAATGCAAACTTAGTTGTATTGTTTAATGGAGTTTTGTTTATATTTTTGTCCTTGGGAAATCTTGAGTAGCTGTTTTTGTGCACTTTTAGGTCTTTCAAACATGATGTCAGATGGTGAATTTTTAAGAACAAGTTGTGGCTCACCCAACTATGCTGCACCAGAAGTAATTTCAGGAAGGTAGTATTTGACACCCTCCTGCCCTTAATGCATTTGTAATTGTCTTTTTCTCCTAGATTTTGTAAGACTATATAGTGTCATATTCTAGTGAAAGGAAAAAAAAAATACAAGACTTACTTTTTTTTTTTTGGTACTGGGGCTTGAACTCAGGGCCTTCGTCTTGAGCCACTCCACCAGCCCAATTTTTTGTGATGGATTTTCTCGAGATAGGGTCTCACCAACTATTTGCCCTGTCTGGCTTGGAACCTCCATCCTTCTGATCTCTGCTTCCTGAGTAGCTAGAATTATAGGCATGAGCCACTGGCACCCGGCAAGACTTTCTTATCTGGAGTTTTTCTATCTTAATAGAACATAAGTAGATAAGGTGAGAGACTCCATTTATAGAAGAGAATGTTGGTTGGCAAGTCAGCCTTATGTTTAAGTAGTTACAAGAGATTAGTTTGATTTTTTTCTTCTCCTGGTTGAAGAAATGGAAGGTTTTAAGTTAGTGAGTTTTGAAGGTAGGTGGGTAAGACACTTGAAAACTTGAATAACATAGAAGTATCTATAGTTAGAAAAGATTTAATATTTATTTAGATGAATTGAAACTATAAAAGGTAACTTTAATTTTTCAAATAGATTGCATTTTATAGTAGCTTTAGATTTTCTGATTTTAAAAAAGTGTTTTGGGAAGTTGGACTAAAGTATTGATAAATATATCAGACTTGCTGGATGTGGTGGTACACACCTATAATCCCTGTTCTTGGGAGGCTGAGGCAGGGTTGTGACTTAAAAGGGCATCCTTAGCTATATAGTGAGATCCTGTCTCAAAAAACAAAAGTCAGACTTCATTTTTGTTGAATCTTAATTCTTTAAATCTTTTAGAGACTGCAGTAATACTATGGCATTAAGATAATTGTATGTAATATGTAGAATGGCTATAAAATCGTATTCTGACTACTAAGTCTATCATTTTTACATTGCTCGTGTGTATACATTGTTTGGGTCACCTCCCTCCCCCCTCCCCTCCCCCACTACTAATTCTTTATGAGAGATCCATACTTGAAATTTTTGAGTAACTGATTGACTCGGACATTATTAATGATTATTGGATGCAATTGTTATTTCCTGTTACAGATTGTATGCAGGCCCAGAGGTAGATATATGGAGCAGCGGGGTGATTCTCTATGCTTTATTATGTGGAACCCTTCCATTCGATGATGACCATGTGCCAACTCTTTTTAAAAAGATATGTGATGGGATTTTTTATACCCCTCAGTATTTAAATCCTTCTGTGATTAGCCTTTTAAAACATATGCTGCAGGTGGATCCTATGAAGAGGGCCACAATAAAAGATATCAGGTAATCTGAGCTACTATATTTATTTCCTTTTGTTAACCTCAAGGAATGAGAAAACTTTAATTTGATGAATGTTGCATTTGTTTTTCATAGTAGTATACCTTGAATCACATGAAATTTAGGTTTGTGGCATTTTATATGATCCTAACAGTGTGAATAAGGCAGAAGTGATAACAAATGTGTTTCTCAAATTTCAGCGATCATTTCTCATGAAGACATAAAACTATTTCTTGTAAGCGTTGTTTTTCTACCATTAGTATTCCTGCTCTGCAACCCCCCTCCCCACCACATACACGCGTTCTAAAGGCTAGCCCTCTGCAATGGAAGAAGAAGGAAGAAAGAAAGTATGGAGATCTAGGAAACGTAAATAAGAAAGAACACATGAGGCTAGCAAGAGGAAGGGAGGATTATATATAAAACCTGAAGCTTGATTTTCTGCCATTTCTCCGTATGTTAAAAGACTAGCTTCTGGTGGTGAATAAAAAGACAAACATTCTCTAAAATAAACATTTAAGTGAGAAATGCTTCTGTTTTACTTTTTTTTTCTAGTTAAGCTAGAAAAACTGTACTATGAAAAGTGAGGCATGATGGGTCATGCTTGTCATTCCAGCACTCAGGAGGAAGGAGAGTTTAAGGCCAGCCTGTGTTACATAGTGAGATTTTGTCTCAACAAAACAAAACAACAACATATGACAATTTGGTGCATTCAGAGAAGCACTAAAAAGGGAAGGGAATAAAAGTCATTTTTATTTCTATTTTATTTTCACTTTTATAAAGTGTCCAGTGATAACCATTGTTCTTTTGGGTATTTTCCTCTCTTGGTTTTTCTAGCTTTAGCATAGTTTTGACATGGTTCAAGTAAAACATACTATTTTATATATGAAATTAAGAAATTGGAAAAGACATTCATTCAGAGCATGGCCTTTTGAGCCACAGAATTGGGCTGCAATCTGGCTCTTCCTCTTAACTGTCTTTGTGATATTGGGCAACTTCCTTGATCTTTTTGAACCTCAGTTCCTTCATTTAAAAGAAGGGGATGTTGTTATCTTCATAGAATAGTTTTGAGGATGAGGAGAGACTACATACATATAGCATAAAACCTAGCATATATATCATGAGGACTCAGTGAATGTTGCCAGCTATTTTTGTTGTAGATTCTTTTTTTTATTTTTACTTAACGTGAGGAAAGAATATAATGAAGCCACACTATGTTTTCTTTCTGAGCAGGAAATAAGCTGTACTTTGTCATTGTCATTTGTTCCAAAACTTTGAATATTAGGGTAGACATTTCTTTTTCCATTGCTACATCAGCCATTAAAATCAGAGGGAGGCTGGAACGTTTGTCTCAATGTATATGATGAAGTGTGAGCTAGAAGACTATAATAATACAATATTCCGTATGGGTATAAGTATAAATGAACTCATCCTAAATTTCTCTAAGCTCTTACTTTCAGTCTTGTTCCCACTCAAAATCCTTTTTCTGACCTTGCCATTTTCTCTCAGGGAACATGAATGGTTTAAACAGGACCTTCCCAAATATCTCTTTCCTGAGGATCCATCATATAGTTCAACCATGATTGATGATGAAGCCTTAAAAGAAGTATGTGAAAAATTTGAATGCTCTGAAGAGGAGGTTCTCAGCTGCCTTTATAATAGAAATCACCAGGACCCTTTGGCAGTTGCCTATCACCTCATAATAGATAACAGGAGAATAATGAATGAAGCCAAAGATTTCTACTTGGCAACAAGCCCCCCTGATTCTTTTCTTGATGATCACCATTTAACTCGACCCCATCCTGAAAGAGTTCCATTCTTGGTGGCTGAAACACCAAGGGCACGCCATACACTCGATGAATTAAACCCACAGAAATCCAAACACCAAGGTGTAAGGAAAGCAAAATGGCATTTGGGAATTAGAAGTCAAAGTCGACCAAATGATATCATGGCAGAAGTATGTAGAGCAATTAAGCAACTGGATTATGAATGGAAGGTAAGAAAGAGCAAGCATCCTTATTATTAACACATAGGCAAATCTGTAGTCTATAAAATGTTTTATAGAAGAACTTATTTGGCTTTGTTTTTGTTCATACCATATGCTAGGTTGTAAACCCATATTATTTACGGGTTCGAAGAAAGAATCCCGTGACAAGCACATACTCCAAAATGAGTCTGCAGTTGTACCAAGTAGATAGTAGAACTTACTTACTGGATTTCCGTAGTATTGATGGTATGTATACATCACACAAAACAACGAAGTGGATATATTACATCTTGTTATCTAACTTGTTTTATTAATCTTTGATTCTTTTAAAGTTTTTGGACTTATTCCTAATAACAGCAAAGGAATGACTTTTTGTGCCTATGCAATACTGACATTTGTGAATTGTGTTATTCTGATAATCTTACAGTGTTGTATCCTGTTAAGTTTATACTCTTGTAAAATCCTTAAACCCAAGATACAGTTTAATCCTAAAGTGACAATTTTCTCCTATATTTCTGTGGTAAGATAAAATGTTTTATTTAGAAATAAATGTTCACATTTATGTAAGCTCTTAATTTACTATTAAGTAATTGTTTTTGCTATATAGCCCAAGCTGGTCTCAAACTCCCAATCCTCCTGCTTCAGCCCCCTGATACTGGAAGCAAGGTGTGTGCTACCATGCCTGACTCTATTAAATAATTTTAAAATTAAGTACAGGGTTATGATTATTGTTCATTGAGTTAAGATACAGTGCCACCATTATTTATGGAAGGTTACATAAAATTAGAAGGTGCACCTGTGATTTTTTTTCCTTTTTTTTTTTTAATAAGCTCAAAGATACATAGTAACTACATAGTATCAGAAAGATACAAGTTTGAGCTACCCAGGTACTATGTGTCTGCGAACACATACTAACACAGTTTGAGATATGAAATGGTTTTTATTTTTTTCATTATATTTGGATCAGATTTGTAATCTTGGATTTATTAGCACATGGGTTTGCCAATTGAATGACCATTCACTATTTCTGTGGTTTGTTCCCTCCTAGTTTTTCTTTGATTTTGTTCATTGGAATTGTTGTTCTTTTATGAGATCTTAAATGAAATATATTAAGACAATGGGGAGTGAAAAGCACTGAACTGATGTTAATAGATTTGTTCTACACTTACCTTAACCTTTCTGTTCGTTTTCTTGGACAAATCAGTTAATTTCTTCAGGTTTACTCTTTTATTCAATAAAACAAGTCATGAGATGATTTCTAGGATACCTTCCATATTTAAGTAAATTGATTCTATGATTTTAATATAGAAGGATTACTTTTTATTGCTAGAGAATGATATTTATTAAAACCCACGTTATTAGTTTACTGGTCTCTTTAGTCTTTGATTGCAAGACTGATGAGTAGCTATCTTGACTAGTCATCATAAGAATACATGCTATGTGTTTAAAAAAAAAAAAGATGAGTAGTTTAACATAACCACATTACCTCAACTGTAGGTATTTAAAATAAATATGGTCTGGATATCTGGTCAATAGTCTCACTTAAAAGAAGTAACTTCCGTACTGTTAAAAAAAATTGAGAAGAGGTCAATGATTATAATTAATTGAAATTCTTTTTACTCAGATGAAATTACTGAAGCCAAATCAGGGACTGCTACTCCACAGAGATCAGGATCAATTAGCAACTATCGATCTTGCCAAAGGAATGATTCAGATGCTGATGCTCAAGGAAAATCCTCAGAAGTTTCTCTTACCTCATCTGTGACCTCACTTGACTCTTCTCCTGTTGACTTAACTTCGAGACCTGGAAGTCACACAATAGAATTTTTTGAAATGTGTGCAAATCTAATTAAAATTCTTGCACAGTAAATGTAAAATTTTGCTTATTTCTTTCATAGCAATAAGCATGCATAATATAATAGCCAAATGCTTCCATTTGTAATCAAGTTATATATATAATTATAACTAAGGCTTGGCCTTTTGAAATGTAATTTGCACAGATTGGAAGATGATTGATAGTTAATAACCTAACGTGCAGAAATGAATTAAGATCATTTTTGTTCATTCTTTCAGTCATATATAGCATACAAACAATGAATTATAGATTTCTCAGGCTTACTTCATTTTTGGCTATTTTATATTTAGTGTACACAGGGCTTTGTAGAATATTAATTTACCATAAAGGCCTTCATATATTATTAATGTTGATATGTTCTATATTTGCTTCCTAAATTTATTCAATAAATATTTGCCTAGAATCTCCATAGAACTTTATAGTTGATACTGTTTTCTGGGTTCCTTAACTTCTTAAGTAGCTAATGTCTCCCAATAGTAGTGACAGTCTTAATAACTTTCTCCATTTCCCCCTTAAAATTCTATATTATTTGTAAGTCATATCAGATATTAGACTCAATTTAAATTTTTTCTTTAGCTTGGTAAGTCCAAACACTTTCAGAATTTATGTGTTCAGACTCTCTAGGCACGAAGTCTAATCTTAAAATATGTCCCTCTATACCTTGTATATAAAGTGCTCTTTTTGTCTCAAGAGCTGAGTTGCATATGGTGTAAATAAATTGGGTTGCTTTTGCCAATTTCACAAATTCTGGCTTATCATGTCAGTCAGTATTAAATGTATGCAAAAATTTCTAGTCATTTGATTGTGTCTTTTAAGTTGACTCAGTGCATAGAAGGAATACCATTTAAAGCTTTAAGGGCCTGGATCTGATTTTTTTCCCCCCTAAATTTTATTAATATTTTTGGAAAAAGAAATGTTGAAAGATTGTAGAGTGACCACGTGTATCTACTACATAGATTCAACAACTAACATTTTCCATATTTGTTTTCTCTGTATTCATAATGTGTAGAGATAAAGCTAGTTATGCATATATATTTGTATATATATGCTTTTTTTCTGAGCTATTTACATGTTATAGACACATTTATTACCCAAATACATAGCAAGTCCTAAAAATAATCTAAAAAAAAATCATTATAAAATTTATAATTCCCCAATACCTAATACTCATGCCATATTTAGATTTCTTCATTTACTCTCCAGATTTCTTTTGTAGCTGATTATTTCAAACCAGGAGCCAGTTAAAGCTTCCACATTGCATTTGGTTACATCTCCTTTAGTTAGATAAATATTTGTAAAATGTGGAGCAAACAGTACTTCTAAATGGTCAAATTATTTGAGTTTTTAGGTAAATTTTTTAAAAATTAGCATTTTAGGAACTGTCTAAAGATGTTTAATCTTAAGAGCTCTCTATATTCTCTCCCTCTTAGTAACATCATATAATAGGTCTAAATGAAGTCACCTCAAATAAAAATGGTATTGTGCATATGGTTAAAAAATTATATCACCCGTATTTGTCTTACATTATTTTAACTTCAAGAAATTGGGGCTGGCGATGTAGCTCAGGGGTAGAGTATTTGCCTAGCACAGATAGAGCCCTGCGTTTGGTCCCTAGCACAACAAAAAAAAATGTGTTTGTGTGTGTGTCTTACCATTTCTCATTGCAGGAGAGCTATGTTTTCTGTTGTATTAGGGTGGTTTTGGACAAATAGGGTGAGCATTTACCTAACCAGATGATAATGTACTCAAATGTCACAGTAGCTCCCATAAATGGTTACTCTAGTTTATGGTGAGTTCAGTACCTCTAGAATCATGCACTGAATTTAGAACAAAAACCTTGATTCTTTTTGTCCAGGACTTGTTCTATTCAACTTCAAATTTGAAAGCTGTATAAAGTAATAGTTCCATTTAAATATGAGTTCAAAACTATATACTTGTATGTTGCCCTCTGTTTGGGGTATGTTGGTTTCATTTATGCTAATCACAGCACTATGTTCCTGGTGTTAAAAACAGAAGACTATTTTTAAAGTTATAGATTTGTACATAGAACTAGTAATATCTCTATAAACTGTGTGGGGAGATGATGACAAAAGGAGGAACCAATTAAATAGACCTTCTAAAAATTGTTAATTTTGTAAACTTTGCTTCTTTTTATAAGTTATTGTGATTCCTTTTAGTTAGTTTTATTTTGAAGATATTTAAATATTGACTTGTACAAATAGTATGATAAATGCACACTGTTGCTGTCAATTCTTTTTTAAGCTAGGATATTTGAAATGACAACTTTTGGTTAAGTGTGTTAAGGTTGGAACAGAATTTTCACGAATTTATTGTAGTTTGCAAATTCTTACTAATGCTGAAAATGAAGGGGAATCAGTGTAAATGATTTTTAATCTTTTTTTATTTTTTCAGCAATTTATATTTTTTGTGGTCTTATGTAACCATATTTTTACTTTGTCTTCACAACTGAAAGATGTATAGGGTTTTTGCCAGAAAAGTACTGTATACAGTTTTAAATATAACAGATTTTACTGATATGTAAAATTTTGCCATTTAAATTGACTTCTCAATAAGAGGAACTTTTCTACCAGGTTGGGGTATATGGGAGCTTACTATGTCATATCTAATTTAAAATACCTTCACTGAAATAAACACCATTGCTTTTACTTTGATTATATTTTTTCTTAAGATGCTTTTGTAGTTTTTTGGAGTTTTAGATAATTTTTATATAAAATCCTTCCTTCACCTTCCCTTTGCACTAACCTTTTTGATCTTGTGATACCAGACTGAATTGATGTGTGGTGGCCTTGTGGCTAGACATGTACTCCATGCATCTATGTTCCAAGTGGCAAGAAAAGCGGAATGCAAGAAAAATGTGTGCTGTCTAAATCTTTCTTTAACTTCTCCCCAACCTGTCCACTTTGAGTTCTGACAAGATGAATGAAATTCCACATACAACAGAACTATAAATCAGTGATAGGATAAAAAATTGATCTTTGTGGCTCATGTATGTTTTGACTGGATACAAATGAAATGATACAATTTCAAATACCTTGATTCGGAAGGATGGCATAATAAAGAAAAACTTCATTTTTCATGTATTACAGTGTCTTTCTTGTTTAATCTCTGGGAAAACTAAGCGGGAGGTGGTGGGGATAGCTTGTTGATCACTCAATTTCTGTGTACCTTTCTTACCAATATACCAAAATAAAAAATACAGTACTTCACCTAATTTATGAGTACTCAAAATTCAGTGATTTTTGTCTCAAGTTTTGATTTTATGTAGAAATTAACCTCTTAAGCAAAATATTAAAATATATTCAGTTAAAGCCATTTTTCAGCTAGCACTGGATTTGGTTAGACTCTCACTACTGTTAGAATTCACTTATTACCAAATCTTGAATACATTATTAGGTTTTTTGCTAGATTGTTGGCCTTCCAAATCTAAATAATAAAATTGTTAAAAAGAGTGTTACGAATAACAAAGTTGTTCTTTTAGGGAACTTACTGCTATGGGTATGCTGTATACATTGGTATAAGATCACAATTTGAAAAATCATCTATTAAAGTATACTGTAAATGAATAAACTGTTGTAAAGGCCATAAATATTGATAGAGGATTTTCAGCTGCTTGGAAGATGTTTGTGTTGTCTATTAAAAGACAGCACAGGAAATAGATCAAAAGGTTAAGAGCATAGACCAAAGTAACAAGTGGTGGGTGAAGTGTAAAAACTTTGTGGAAGTATTTACCAGAGTAGAGGGGATCAAGGTTTGATTACGTGAGAGATTTAGGAAAGAGCCCTAGAAAACAGGCACAGCCTCAAGCACTAACCACTCTGCATTATACTTCCTCATATGGCCACTGTAAACAAATGTGACCAGGAGACAAATCCTGCTCTGAGTATCTTGTTAGGAAGACACATCTATTTAAAGACTTTTGTAAGTGTGTAAAATGCTGAAAAATGCACAAATTATAAGTATTTGGCTTAATGAACTTTGTTCCAAATTTACATTGAACTTGGTCACATAAACCTCTATCCAGATGAAGAAGCATTGTCACTGCCTTTCATGTCATCTATAGTTAGTACAAGTACCTGTTCCACAGGTAACATGGGCTGACTTTGGAACAATGTGGGAAGAACTTCTCAAAGGTATGAATACCAGGGATGGGGCTCTTGAAGGACAACTTGGAGGCTGGCTGCCACAGTCATTCACTGCTCCTTTTGAAAATACTGGTTTACATACACAGTTCTTACAAATGCTGATGCATTTAAACGATCAATAAAAATTGTGATCTCACCAGTGATCTCATTTGAGAAGTCTGGAAATATTGGGAAGCTGTCAAAATCATTATGGTGAGTACAATTTTTCCAAAATCATAATTTTTAACTAAAATCTTTATCATTGGTAATGAACACTGTCAATTGTTTTTATTGAAGTAACTGGTACTTTTCTTGTGGGTGGTACTGGGGTTTTAGAATTCTGCCTTGTGCTACCACTTGAGAAGCAACACCACTAACCCTCTTTTGTTCATTTTTATCAGAACATCTATGAAATAATGCAATAATAACCAGCTTGTCAGTCGTTCTGAAAGAAAGAAGTGTTTCACAATTTTTTGTGTGTGATGGGATCAAGCCCAAGGCCTTGCATGTGCCAGACAAGTGCTCAACCCACTGAGCTACATCCTCAGTCCCCAAAAGTGTTTACTTCATTTTGTGATGCAGTTTCACAAGTACTTTCTTTGAGATATCATTATGCAGGATTATATTAGGATTTCCCATTTTGTCACAAAACAAAAAGGTTTTGCTGGGCATGTGTATTTCCAGCTGCTCCAGGCTGAAGTAGGAGGATCTCTTGAGCCCCCCCCCCCCCCCCCCCGCAAAATGTCCTCAAGGGTCGTTTCAAAGATGTGATTCTTGGGGGCTGGTAGAGTGATTCAAGTGGTAGGACACCTGCCTAACAAGCTCGAGGCCCTTAGTTCAAACCCCAGTACCACCAGAAAAGATGTAATTCTTACTGATTCATCAAGGATACCTGGCAGGGCAAAGATAAAATCAAAAGGCAAGGGGTGGGGTTTAGGGAGATGCATCATCAAGTGGTAGAAAGCATGCCTAGCAAGAGCAAGGCCCTAAATTCAAACCTCACTACTGAGTCATTGTTTTACATCAGAAGTTCTCAATTGGGCAGAAGAAAGGGAGGGATTTTTCTTCCGGGGGGAACTGACATTTTCTGGGCAAAACAATTTGGTCCTTACTGGTGATGGTGGCCACTATAGCTATGTGGATAAATTCACAAGTTTTCAAGTTCCTAAACACCGCTGTTAACATTTGCCTATTATTTTCAAAACAAGACCCACTACTTTCAGGCTGTAATTCTCTCTTCTCCCACGAGAAGCCTACAGTTCAGACAGGAAAGCGTCTGATCAACTCTCCTTCAACCCTTTTTTCAATCCAGTTTTTCTTCTCTGTCCTCTGCATCTGGGTGGCCTCAGCAGCTAGATTGTAAATCTTTTTGAGCAGTGCCATGTATGTTAATCCTCTGCCTTTCAAAATCGTTTGCCCCGGATCTCGCTTAGATCGCTGATCGGTCGCGCCGCACTGTACAGCCTGGGGCTGCTCCTTAGTTTGCGGAGCCTCATTTGCCCGCGCTGCGGTGACCCGCAAGAACGACACTGGCTGCTGCTGGACGGCGGCGGGGTCGGGTGGCCCTACTACAAACCCCAGAAGGCAATGCGGTAGGCGTCGCCGCAGCGACTTCTGGGACTTGTGGTCTTACAGAAGACATTGGCGGATGGGAAGAATTATCAGTCGTCTCTCTTCATCTTGCTTTTCTGTACTGTTCGGACGCACGTCCCCGGCTGGACCAACCCATTTCTTCGGAGACCAGGGGAACAAAGGCCAAGGCACGTAGGAATGCCGGCACGATCATTTCCGCTTCCGGTATCAAAGGGCAAGCGGAATGTAAACACGGTATTGCGAAGTGGTCTCCGAGGCTTGTGGGTCCTCGGTGGAAGGCGGAGGAAGAAGAAAACGAGTGGAGTGGCGGTCGTGGTTTAGGGAGAAAGGCACCTCATTGGAGACTCCGCGGAGGTGTGACAGAGCGAGCGCTGAGGTTGGTCTCTAGGGACAGGCGAGTCTGGGGTCGCGCCCGTCATGACCGCGGCGCCGAGGCGGCTGTGACCTTCCCCAGCCTTGCGCGGGGTCCGCTTCCCCTGGGGGTCCGTGTACACTCGCAGGTGTCGTCCCCGCGGCTTGAGCATTCATATTGTTGCTGCCAATGAAAAGAAAGTTGCTCGTAATAGTTTCTCTTGCGGTGGCGTGTTTGGGGTAAATCATATCTTGAACTCTGCAGTCCCAAATGCATCTGTGTACCTGCAAGGATGCTTTTGGGTTCCTGCGTCTGCACAGTGGTTTGCCGAGTCGAGTGCTGCATCCTCGGGCGCAGTGAAGACATCTGGCCCAGCTGCGGGCTCGAGGCCGCCATGGTGGGGGGGGTGGTAACCAATGCAGGGGTTTGGAATAAGGCCTTACATGTAATTTTTTGTGAGGTGTACTTGTTTTTTCTATGAGCTTAACACGAAACCTGTATGATTGTGATTTACTCATGGTTTCTTAGTCTGGTGAAAAGAAAAAAAAGCCTGGGATGTTCGCGCTCTGTGCATCTAACCATAGACTTCGGAAAGGTCCTTCTATAAGTTTTAACTTTATGTTCAGATAACTTTAGGGGGACAGTAAACTTGTATTATTTGTTGGGAGGAGGGGAGGGGACAGACTCACCATGTAGTCCAAGCTGGCTTCTGGGACTGGCCTCAAACTCTGATCTTCCTGCTCCTGCCTCCTGAATGCTGGTACTACAGGCATGCACCATTACTGGAAACACTTATTATTTAAGATACCTCTTTTTTATTTTTCCCCAAGACAGTCTTATTGAGATACAATTGGCCTATCGTACAGTTCAGTCATTTACAATGTATAATTCATTGGCCTTTAGTATGTTCACAAAGTTGTGCCCTGATTGTCACAACTTTAGAACATTTTAATCACATAAAAAAAACCCAGGACCACTAATGTCATTCCCCAGCACGATTTAAGATGTCTGAATCAACTCAGAATGTTAAGGTTTTTTTGGGGTAAGTGTTTCACATATTTCTAGGACTTGCCCCTCCTTTTAAGCTTGGTTAGCTTTTATTCTTTAAAACTCAAGGCCTCCATAAAAGCTTAAGTGTCTCTTCTCTTATGACATAGCATCCTTTGATTACTCTTCTGTAGCACTTAAACCTTGTATTGTAATTGTCTATACACTTGCCTCCAGACAATTATGAAGAAAATAATAAAACTGTGAATGGCCTTGGTAACAAATTCACACTTTTCTTAATACTGTTTGCTATCCCTATTGTTGCATTTTTCTAATATCCACAGTGACTATTTCAGATCTTTTTTCATTTTTTCCAAGTGCTTAGGATTTCATTTATTTTTCCTTCACTCCTCCTCCCCGCAGTGGTGCAGACCAAACCCTGGCCTTGCAATGCTAGGCACTGAGTTACACCCCCAGCCCCATTTTTCCTTTTCTTTGAGCAGAACAGTACCTCCTGCTCCTGGAGTATGTTTGTTTTTCTTTCACCCCTAAACTTTCCTATACTTTCACTTAATATTAATTCCTTTGTTTGTTCACAAAAACGTGTTCTTGGCCTTTTGTTGAAGGTGAAGTCAGGCCTCCATTCCATTCTGACTTCTACAGCCTCTGATCTCAAGAGATTTGTGGGGGAGAATGACACAAATACCTGAAGCAACAGAGTGTGTGGCTTTTTCATGCATGTTTGAGAACCGTCTCCTGGATCCTTAACTTGTACCTGTTCTCAGCAGATATAAAGTGATTTGAGTTGGAAGATGGAGAGGGTAGTGAGTCTATTAAATAATTAAAAAAAAATCCATGTGGCTCTCCCTTCTTTCTTTCATCTCCAGTTTATCCCCTGCTTCTAATAATCAATAGAATTAACCAATGATTGTTATTTTATTTTATGTATTTATTTTTTTTTTGAGTCAGGGTCTCACTGTTACCCAAGATGGCCTGGAACTATGTAGATCATGCTAACCTTGAACTCTGGACCCACCTGCCTTAGCTTCCTGAGTGCTGGGATCACCACTCTGCCTGACTTTGACCAATATTTTTGATGTAATTTGCTTTCAGTAAGCACACTAGGTTTCTGTTAGTATTAATAGAGTCATTACACTGTCTGGCACTCCACATTGCTAATACTGAAACAAAGTTCCATTTGGGAACTTGAAGTTTAGAGATTTGATCATCATACTCTTTAGTGGCAGTCATAAATACGAGACTTACTTTTTATCTTGTCTTATTCTGGTAAGGAACTGTTCTCCCAGGTTGTCCTCACTCTGTGCCTCTGGACTTTGATCTATCCATTTTTAGCCATTTCTTGTTTTTTATTCCCCCTCCTGGGATACGCAAAGTCATCTTCAATCAAGAAATTCATTCTCTCATATTTAAGAACGTTTGCATTGTCTTAAACTTGTTAGCATAACTTGTAATCCATAACATCGCCAGGTTTTTCTAAAAATTCGTGCTCCTATGTATATGTATATGGCTCATTTATATCAGCCTGTTTATTTCTTAATTGCTGTTGTTTCTTCATTAAGAACTTAGGCATATGATGCACTCTTGATTCTGCCATTATCTTTGGCTTTTCCTTGTAAATAATTTCATAGCTACCTTCAACTAATTTTTGCTGTTGTTACTATGTAACATCCACTTGCCTTTGTGATTTTAGCAGTCCTTGATGATTATTGCCTAGGTCCACTAATTGGAACTTAAAAATGATGCTAGTTTAATGCTGCTATCCCATATTCATCTGTTCAGTGGAATAGTTTTATAAAAAGCCAAGTTTGAATTTTATTTTTTTCTGGGCTTTGGAAGATATTTTTAATTGAGACAAATTCACATAACAAAATTCACAGTTTTAACCAGATTTGAATTTTAAAGCTGTTTCTTTGTAACTTCCCAGAATGGCTTCCTTTGGGTGGAAGAGGAAAATTGGTGAGAAGGTATCCAAGGCCACTTCCCAGCAGTTTGAGGCTGAAGCTGCTGATGAGAAGGACGCAGTGGAGAGTGATGAAGGGAACTGGCTTCATGCCATTAAACGAAGGAAAGAAATTCTCCATGAAGGCTGTGCTGAGAAGAGTAAACAACTGAAGGATGAAGGAGCCAGTTTGGCTGAAAATAAAAGGTATGTTTTTAGAAATTTTTTTTGGAGAACAGTTTACATTTTCTGGTTCTCAGCCAAGAGTGGGATGAAGAGTTATGAATTCTATAAATTCATGCTTTAAAAATCTGCTATAGGTGCTAAACCAACAAAAGACATGGTGTTCAAAGTCACCTAAAAATTCTCAATTTCAGGGAAAATGGAAGTTTGTAAAGTAGCCTTTAGGATGTTTATAATGTCTCTGCCTTACTGTCATTTTTTGCTCAGTCTATAAGAGTAAATGCTAAGTGAAGTGCAACCCAACTTACTGGTTAATAGAAGATGGTCTAATCTCTGAAGACTTCCTCTTTATGATACTATGGAAAGTAAATTAGGCATTTCCTGAACACTTTTGTGGACATACCCTTTTTTTAAAAAGTTGATATTTAGCTAACAGGGTGGCTCAGTGGTAAGAGTACCTGCTTAACAAGTGTGAGGCCCTGAGTTCAAATCCCAGTACTGCCAAAAAGAAAAAAAAGTTGATATTTAGTCATTTGCCTTTTCTCCTCTTTTATTTATTTATTTATTTATTTTGATGATACTAGGGTGGAGAACCTACCACTTGAGCCACTCCCGCAGCCCTTCTTCCTTCTTCACTCTTTTTTCTTTCTTCAACAGGGTCTTACTGTGTATCCCAGGCTGATCTTGAACTCTTTTACTGAGGCAAGGGGGATCCTAGTGCCGCCACATTTGTCTGCCATTTACTTCTCACATACTTTAGTAAATATAACATGTATAGGACTTTGATAATAGCTCCATTTAGCCCTTCCCTACCTTAAGTTCTCCTACTTCTCCTGTTGCACCTGTTTCTTTTCCTTTCCTCTGTTTCTTCCTTTTTAATTTCTTGTTCTTGTCTTCTGCTTAGATCTTTCTGTAGGAATGAAAAAAATCATTCTTCCCACAAGTCAGTGAGGAAAGACAAATTGTTTAGTAGATTATGTTGAGAAAATAGGATTACTATATAGAGGAAGGGTCTTTATCTCATACCACATAAAAGATAGGCCCTAGAAAGATTGAAAATCTATGTGAAAGGCAAAAGTATATAGTTAGAAGAAAATATGGAAGAGCATGTTTATAACCTAGGCAGGAGAGGGGTCTTTTTTTAATTTTGAAAAATTTCAATTTGCAGTTGAAAGAGTTGTACAACCCTGTATTCTCCCTATTTAAAACTAAAACATTCTTAATATTTGCCTAATCTCTTTTCTCCTGTACACACACACAGAGATATACATGCTTCCCCTAATTGTATATTTATAGTTTTTCATGGAGCTTTGTAAAGTAAATTGCAGAACATTAATTATACCCACTCCAATTCAGCATGCTTCTCCAAAGAAAAAGGATACTCTCCTATCTAACATGCAGTGATCACACTTGCAAAAATTATCAGTTCCATAATTTAGTTCAAATTTGGATTTTTTCCAGCTTTCCCGCAAATGTGTTTTACAATGTGTATACCAAGGTCTAAGCATAGTTTACATATTATATTTGGTTATTATGTCTGTTTAGCAAGTGTCTTTTAATCTGTTGGGTCTACTTCTTTTATTTCCTAAGATACTGACTTTTGTAGAGTCCAGACAATTTTCTATTTTTTGTTTCCTTTTGCTTATCATTTTAATTGTTCCTTTATCCCAAGTGTTTCTTGTAAGGTGGAAGTTAGGTATAAAGATTTGATTCAGAGCTTCGTCATTTTTGGCAAGAGTATGTTGTAGGTAATGTTTGTGCTTGATATTGTATCATGCTGGAAGATAAGTTACGTTAGGTTTCCCTCTATTAGTATAGCCTATGGAAAGACATTGTGCCTATGTCTGTCTGTTGGCATTGTTTGAAATTTGTTGAAAGCCAAATTGTGATCATTCTTTTTCTTTTTTGTACTGTGGCTTAAATCTTAAAGCATTTGTCCTTGGTGAATAAGATATATGTTAGGAAAATTAGACTCACCTGTATGAGATGTATTGATACATTTACACCAAATGTATGATTTTTAGAAGGTACCCAAATGATGAGCATGAGTAATATCTTTTGTTGGTGGTGGTGGTGCTGGGGATCAGACCCAGGGCTTCTAGTGTGCTAAGCATGTGCTTTACTGCTGAACTGTACTTCTAGCTCCAAGGGCATATCTAAGTAGGCACTTGGTTGGGACACAATACTGTTCAAATCATCTAGGGATGTAAAATAAGGCTTGTGTGCTGTGTGTGCCTGGTATTTTTCATGTGGTATTGAAGAGTTTGAGAAATTAAAAGAAAATGAGGTAGTGTTAAGGAAAAAAACCATTTTTCTCTTTGTTCTTTTTCTGTGACAGCTTATAAAAACAAAATCTAAATAATTACTCATAAAGCTATATCCAGCTCTTTTTTGGCAGTACTGGGGTTTAAACTCAAGCTTTATGCTTGCTAGGCATGTGCTGCACAACTTGAGCCACTCCACCATCCCTGTTTTGTGTTGTGTTTTTTTCCAGATAGGGTCTTGCAAATTAATTGCCTGGGCTGGCTTTGAAAGTCTATCTTCCTGATCTCTGCCTCCCAAGTAGCTAGGATTAACAGGTGTGAATCACCAGCACCCGGTTTGTTCCTTTTTTTTGTTTTTTTTAGAACTGATGAGAATGGTTATAAGATTCCTTGCCAATCATTCTTGTCATAAAAGAGTCAAAGTTGAGGAACTAACACTAGTTTCTAGGTCTGCTTTTATTTTTTACTACTGTGTTACTTATAACAGAAGTCAAGATAGTGCTTAAACTATAATATATTACCATCTCCAGTTAAGAACGAAGGGGTATAAAATAAATAGCAATCAAGATCAATTGACATATTAGTAGCCTACTCTTAAGGCTGTGAATTGTCATTTGTGGTATTTTAGGCATAAAGATTTTTCTCTTGTAGAACTTTGCCAGATTGACTACTCTGTCTTAGAAGAAAACCAGTTGTAAATTTTCCACATTTATGAAGTCACTTTCAGAACATCCATTAAACATCTTTAGAAATTCTTGTAAATCCCTGTTAAAAGTTCATTAATTTTGTTGTTTTTACCGAAAAGTTATTAAGTTATGATCATGGGATTCCCTCTGAATGTCCTGTGTAGAGGAAAGATATCGACTTGGTAGATAAACACAATAACTCTTGTTTTCTGCCTGTATGTTAAAACATTGAGTCATTTCACTAAAATTAGCTGGGTTGGATGCTCTGTTTTGAATAGAGAACACTGTGGGATGATCATGTTTTTTGCCTTTTAGCATTTGTTTCACAGTAATGTGAAACAATGGCTAAATGGAATGGAAAATGGCTAAACAGAGTTTAGGTAATCTAGTGGAATGGAATAGCTACTCTAAGCCATATAAAAATAGAAATACTTATTTAAAAATACCTAAATATTAAATTTGATTAAAAATAATCTGAGGACTGGTGAAGTTTAATTAAAAAAAACTCTCAGTCCCTGTTTGTCAAATCAATTTTATCTTAAACCACTCTTGTTTTTACTACCTTTAGCCATATTGGCCATGCTCATTTTTATCAATACAGTTCTTTATACAACTTTGTATTATATCTGTCTGAAAAGCTCTTTTCTCCTGTGTTTTTGATGCTTGCCTATCTTAATAACCTTCTCTGTCAGTTTCTAATTTCTTTATATGTAAACTAATGGTATATATCTTTATAGAATATTGGAAGATTAAAGGGCAAGTCCATGTAAAAACATGATAGCATGCCACTTAGCATCTACTAAGCAAATATACCTTATATTTTAGGATTTTATATATTATTGACATGTTCTATGCAATATTAAAATTTTTTAGAAGTTATTTTGTTCAAATATCTATTTCTGGAATTATTACTAACTAGAGTATACCTTCTTGAGAGTAACAGTGTCTCAACTGTCATAAGTTGTCATATAGTTTCAACCACTAGATGGTGATGTTTGATTATCTAGCTAAGTGGTGTAATTTTTCTGTTAGAATCAATGTGTATGTGTGTGGAACAGTAGTAAACTAGAATTTACCATGACTTACCTCTTGTCTAGAAAAATATACCTACCAAATTCAATTTTATGTTCTAACTGTGTGACATGCGTTCTACTTATTACCAACATCAATTTATTTAATGTCAGTGATATTGCCTCATATTTTGTGGAAAAAAATTGATGCAGTGTAGCATGCCTTTATTTTCTTATCATCACATCTTTCAACCTCACTGTATTTTCTTAACATCATATCTTTCAACCTCACTGTACCCATACTATTTATGTTCATCCTGTTGTAATGAAGTGTCCTGTTATTATTCACAGCCCATTCCTATACCCCTCCCCTTTTTGCCTTCTCATTGAATATTGTTTCTAAAATTATCCTTCTCATTTTTATGTCATCTGTTCTCTCTCTTTTGGCTCCTTCTCACTAATATACTACAGTACCTTGAGGAACAAAATAACCTGTGATTCCACATGTTCTACAAGTTCCTTGCTATACCTTTGCTGAAAACTCAGTTTCTTGAATCATTCTTCTCTGTTCAAATTAGGCTTCTGTTCCCAGTAATCCACTGAAACGACTTCTGTAAAGGTTATCAATGACCTCATCCATCATCACTTCCCTGTTCTCATTTACTGCACCTCTCTTCACCCAGCTTGGTTTCCTACTCTCTTCCTAAATATATGGCTGTCTAGTTTTCTGCACCATCTCACTGTTGTGCTTTTCCTCTTGACTCAATATCCACTTCTTTTTAATCTTTACTTGCTCCTTTTCTTTAGCTTATTTTCTTAGAATATTTAGAAAGTACTTCTCTGTCCCCTGTACATTCTTTCACTTAACCTATATTTTCTTGCATTCAGTGCCCTCTCTACTAATGACTACCAAATATATATGCATGCAGTCCTCCCATCTGAATAACAGACTCTTAAATCTCCAAAACCTACTTTTGTCTACTTGAATGTCTGATTACTATCTCAAACTTAACATATACAGTAACATAACATTACTATCTCAAACTTAAATATACCTGACTTTT